AACTTTCGCGCGTAGTATGCATATATGCAGATGTATTTCCTACGGAATTAGCAGGATTGCCACCAACCCAGGAAGTAGACTTTAGTATTGAGCTACAACCTGGAACTACCCCAATATCCATGGCCCCGTATCGCATGGCACCCGCAGAATTACGAGAATTAAAGACACAACTACAGGAGTTGCTCAAGAAAGAATTCATTAGGCCAAGTACTTCACCATGGGGAGCACCTGTGTTGTTTGCTAAAAAAAAGGATGGGGTCTTAAGGCTATGCATCGATTACCATCAACTCAATCGAGTCACATTAAGAACTGATACCCACTCCCAAGGATTGATGACCTTTTTGACCAACTTAGAGGCTCAAGGTGCTATTCAAAGATCGATCTCAGGTCAGGTTACCATCAACTATGAGTCAAGGAGGAGGATATACCAAAAACTGCCTTTCGTACTAGATATGGCCACTATGAGTTTGTAGTAATGCCCTTCGGACTAACCAATGCACCGACAGTATTCATGAGCCTAATGAATAAGATTTTTATATCTTGACCAGTTTGTAGTAGTGTTCATTGATGACATCTTGGTATATTCAAGGTCTGAAAAAGAGCATGAGCAACATTTAAGGATTGTCCTTTAAGTTCTTAGAGATAATCGGTTATATGCCAAGGCAAGCAAATGTGAGTTCTAGTTGAATGAAGTAAAATTCTTAGGGCATGTAGTATCAGAGAATGGGATTGCGGTGGATCCAACCAAGGTGGAGGCAGTATTAGATTGGAGACAACCAAAAACCGTGTTAGAAATCCGCAGTTTCTTAGGATTGGCCGGTTATTACCGGAAGTTCATCCCAGATTTCTCCAAACTAGCCAGACCAATGACTTGTTTAATGCAAAAAGGAGTAAAGTATGAGTGGGACGAAGCTTGCGAAAAATCCTTCCAAGAGCTAAAGAAGAGGTTAACTAGTGCGCCAAGTTTGACCATCCTAGAACGGGAAGTGGGGTACACTATGTATTGCAATGCGTCGAAAGAAGGATTAGGTTGTGTGCTCATGCAAAATGGAAAGGTAATCGCGTATGGATCCAGGCAGTTGAAACCACATAAGCGCAACTTCCCCACACATGACTTGGAATTAGCAGCCGTAGTTTTTGCCCTAAAACAATGGCGACATTACCTGTATAGGGAACAACTTGAGATTTTCACAGATCACAAGAGTTTAAAATATCTATTTACACATAAGGACCTTAACTTGAGACAGAGACGATAGATGGAGTATCTTGAGGATTTCCAGTTCACTCTCTCATATCATCTCGGTAAAGCCAATATAGTAGCAGATGCTTTAAGTCACAAGAGCAGGGGGATGATGGCTAGAATTTCCATCAAAGAATGGGATATGGTTAAGACACTCAATGAATTTAAAATCCTAGTAGAATCTCAAGATACAAAAGCATATCTTAGCACACAGAAGGTGATGCCTAAGTTGATGAATGAGATCATGGAGGCCCAGAAGCACGATCAAGAGGTAGCCCATATCAAGGGACGTTTGGAATCAGGAGAACCAATGCTCGATTGGGTAATTCACCCCGATGGGAGTTTAAGATACCAAGGTAGATTGTTTGTACCAAGTGACGAGTTACTTAGAGAAAGGGTACTTAAAGAATGTCATCATTCTGCATTTGTAGTACTTCCAGGAGGGACTAAAATGTACCAAGATTTGAAGAGGCAGTATTGGTGGAATGGAATGAAGAAGGAGGTGGCTAAATTTGTAGCAAAATGTCTAGCATGCCAACAAGTGAAGGCGAAACATCAAAAACCAGGGGGAATGTTGCAACCTCTACCAATAGCCGAATGGAAGTGGGAGTATGTGACGATGGACTTTGTGACAGGGTTGCCTAAGACACCTAGAGGGTGCGATGCTATATGGGTAATAGTGGATCGCCTCACCAAGTCAGCACATTTCTTACCCTATATGATAACCGACACTTTAAAGTCTATGAGCAGGCTCTACATTGGGGAGATCATTCGACTACATGGAATTCTGGTATCTATTATGTCAGATCGTGATCCACGGTTCACCTCTCGATTTTGGGAGAGTCTGCAGGAAGCTCTTGGTACTGGGTTATGTTTTAGCACCGCCTTTCACCGGCAAACAGATGGACAATCTGAACGCACCATCCGGACACTAGAAGATATGTTGAGAGCTTGCGCAATGGATTTTCAAGGAAGTTGGGAACGACACCTGCCTTTAATTGAATTCGCCTATAACAACAACTTTCAAGCTAGCATTGGTATGACGCCTTTTGAAGCATTATATGGACGACCTTGTAGATCGCCGATTTGTTTGAAGTGGGTGATGCAAATCTGATCGGACCCGAACATGTTCTAGAAACTACTGAGAAGGTCAAATTGATCCGACAACGGTTAAAGACTGCTCAAGACCGTCAAAGGAATTATGCAGACAGGAGGAGAAGGCCATTGGTGTTTGAAATAGGAAGCCATGTGTTCGTAAAAGTGCAACCTAGGCGTGGGGTCGTACGTTTGGAACAAAGGTGAAGCTATCACCACGATATATTGGGCCTTTTGAGGTATTGGAAATGGTGAAAGAAGTGGCATACAGACTAGCTCTACCCCCGCAGTTAGCAGGGATACACAACGTCTTCCATGTATCTATGTTGAGAAAATACATCGCCGACCTGTCACATGTCCTCAAATGGGAGGAAATCAGTCTTGACAAAGATGTTACATTTAAAGAAGGACTGGTAGTAATAAAAGATAGTCGAGAGAAGAACCTTAGAGGCAAAACGGTTCACTTGGTAAAAGTGCTATGGCGTCATCGAGGAATTGAGGAATCTACTTGGGAATGCCAGGATTGGGTGAAGGCAAACTACCCCGAACTTTTCGAAGACAGTATGTAGTTGAGTTTCGGGGACGAAATTGTTTTAAGGGGGATAGGTTGTGAAGCCCCTGAAAAATGTATTCTCTTTAAAAACCCTTATGTTTGAATTATTTCCTTAAAGCCCCTCAGTTTCTTGAATTATTTCGAATCTTGTCAGTTAGCATTTTTTATTTTTATTTTTTTATCGAAACAGGAATATCCTAGCAGAATTAGGTTCCTTAGCCTAATTTAATGTAATTCTACATAAGTAAGGTTCCAATACATGAGTTTAATTCCAAGCCCTCACTTCTTTATTTAAATTCAAGAATTACCCCAAAACTAGTACATGTACTTTTATACTATAGGTACCATCAATCAATTTGAGATCTATATATATATATATACATTGGGAAATGTGTCCATAGTACCTAAATTGAATAAAAAAATTTCCATCTCCCTTCCCCATGGCCGGCCACCCTAGGAGAATGTGAGAGGCCTATTTTCAAGAATTGTAATTATGATATTCTAGAAACCCTAGCACCTAGTACCCCTAAATCTAGGGCTTTGTTCCCAATACTAGTTTCATTCCAACTAGAGGCCAACTAGATATTGTCTAATCACATGATTAATTTCCCTAATCACTCCCTATTCCATTAGATTCCAAGTAAATCCAAACTTTTCCATCCAATTCCAACTAGTGGGCCTTTATGTCTTTTTACACCAAAATTGCCTATAAACACAACCACCCCCTAGCATGACATACACAAACAACACACACTCACATACATTCGGCCTAGAGGAGAGAAAGGAGAGCAAGAGAGAAGTCTTGAGAGGGAGAGGAAGGAAGAGGAGAACAATCTTATTCAAGCCTAGCAAGTAAGCCACAACACAACGCTCTCTTTCATTTTCCTTTTTCAAATACATACTCTTAAGGGTTATAAACATTTTTTTCAGATGTGTTATTAATGATTTCCTTGTGTTAAAAATGATAAGAGTTGAGCCATGATTTTACCTCTCTTGTAGTTTCCCTCATTTCGGTACAAAACTATCTTTTTCATACCAATCTCTCAAACTTTCCAAAGGCACACCTTCAAGCAAAATTTTTGAGTTTAATATATGTTATTTAGCATGTTTTCATCACAAAATAAATGAAAATTTTCCCTTAGCGGATCTCCTTTCTCACAAATCTTCGTGTTTTGGGTATTGTGCCTTAAGAATCTGTTTTCACAGTCAACTTTCAAAATTTCTATAAAAATGTAGAAAATTATTCTGGACCTCTATTTTATGTCAAAATCTTCCTTAAGGTGTTACCTTTCAAATAAAATTGGTTTCATTGAAAAAAAGTGAGTGGTTTGTAAGAAAATCAAATTTTCGTAACGGTCGACGAATCTGGATCATGAAGAGTGTATAAAGCTAATTTAATTAACCTTCGATGCAGGAAGGTTCAGATCTAAGATAAGTTTTGAAAGGCAGAGCAGGATAAAATTAAGAATCATTATTTCTAAGCTTGGGATTATACATCAAACAAGTTTAACTAAGCTGGAATGCTGGTGAAAACGAGCAAATTGAGGACAAAAGAAAGCAACAGAGCGAGTTAGAGAGAAAGGAAACTCAAAAAAAATACTTGGTTGTGTTTAGGTCATGGATTTGGGTATGGGTTTGGAAAGGCTAAGAAAAAGGCAAGAGAAATAGGGAAAAAATTTAGCTTATTTCATTCACATTTTCCTTTATCTCTCCAAATCCCTAACCATATTTATGATCCAAAACCACGGCCTAAAGATGTGTAGAATTTTATCAAGACTAAACCCATAATAACATTTCAAGTATCAACAAAACTCTCTAAGTGGAGAAGAAAACTTTGGTATATGCCCTTTTAACAGAAATTATGTAACTCCAAGGTAGATTCAAATGATGCATAACCGACAGTCAAACTAAATCATACTCAGTATTGGAAATTTACCAGATATTTCTAGTAGCATGGCTAAACTATGTTAAACATACTATGAGCCAAGATAGAAATTTCAAAGCTTATATCTCCTCCAAAATTAGGAAACAACACCAGAAACACAATAGCATGAGCAATGAGTTTAGAAAGACTAAGAAAATGCTTAGCTTTATGACCATGCAAAGCACAATTATTTAGCACACCTTGTGGTTGTTTGGATCACATTGTGTGCTTCCATCTGGTTCGAGCAGCATTGGCATAAATGGAACACGCTTAAAGTCCAATCAAGCCAAAAAGATTGGCTTTGCACTACTATGCTTATGCAGATGCATAGCCTTAGCAGATGCACTCTAGTTTGCAAACTTCAAGGTACTTTGACTTTATTTTTTGGTTTGCCAAAGTACCTTAAAGTCTACTACCAATAATCTCCACAAGTACACACACCACCATCAAACCGATGAAAACGGATACGGTCCCTCACAATTATAACCCTGTTTAGTATCCTTGAAACCACTTTCATCCAATAATGACAGTCAAGACAAGTCCGGAGGTTTTTGGTAATCTGGATCTCCATTCCAGGGCTAGTTTTTAAGATCCCATATGCCAATGCCAATTTCTCACTGTGATAATTCAGATTTTCCTCCTTTTCCTCATCAGATACATCCATCAATACTAACTCTATTGCAGGAGAAAATCCCTCCATTTTGGCCCGTCGAATCAATCCTTCCAACACCTTGTATATTGCTTCCCTTTCCAAGTGTGATACATCACCAGCTTTAAATTGATGAATGGCACCTGCCATCTCTATCCAACTCTTTCCTCTATATTTACGAATTCCATTCTTTTTCATAGTATCTCTCACTCTCTCGGCACTATCCCATTTGTTTACAGAACAATAAATATTTGATAGCAAAACATAATCCCCACTGCCGAGTTGTTTAATTTTCTTAATAGCAACTTCACCCAAATCAGAATTTCTCTGAGTTCTACAAGCACTGAGAAGTGCCCTCCATATTACAATATCAGGCTCCATTGGCATTTCTTTAATGATTGAACAAGCATCATCTAGGTGCCCAGCTCGACCCAAGAGATCAACCATTGCTCCGTAATGCTCAAGTTGTGGCTGAATTGAGTAACATGTCATTGAATCGAAGTACTTGTGACCCTGTTCAACCAACCCACAATGGCTACATGCTGTAAGAATTCCAACAAAAGTTATAGAATCAGGTGAAACATTTTCCACCTCCATACGAGAGAATATTGCAATTGCATCTAAAGCAAGCCCATGAACTGCAAGCCCATTAATCAGTGCATTCCAAACAGATATGTCATCTTTTTTAATAGTTTCAAAAATTTCTTTTGCAGTTTCAATTTTTCCACATTTTGAGTACATGTCTATAAGTGCAGAACCCAAAATGTAATTTAGTGCAATTTTCTTCTCAGAATAACATAGTAGTACTACATATACTGTCCTGACTGAAAAGAATATTTAAGAAGAAAAATTAGCATTGCATTTGAGGCTGTGTCTGAATAATAATGAACAACCATTTGTACACACTAGTGTGGCTTGTTGGTCAAACACAATGACCTTCAGATGCTAATTGGTCCATGATCATTCATGAAGAGTGTATAAAGCTAATTTAATTAACCTTTGATGCAGGAAGGTTCAGATCTAAGGTAAGTTTTGATAGGCAGAGCGGGATAAAATTAAGAATCATTATTCCTAAGCTTGGGATTATACATCAGACAATTTTAACAAAGCTGGAATGCTGGTGAAAACGAGCAAATTGAGGACAAAAGAAAGCAACAGAGCAAGTTAGAGAGAGAGAGAGAGAGAGAGAGATGAAACTCAAAAAAATACTTAGACTGTGTTTAGGTCATGGATTTGGGTATGGATTTGGAAAGGCTAAGAAAAAGGCGAGAGAAATAGATTTATGTTGTGTTTGGTTGAGGGATTTGGAGAGGGATTTGGAAAGGGAAAGGGAAAAGGTGTGTGAAACTAGATGAAATATAGACATATTTTATTCACATTTCACTTACCTTTTTCATTTCTCTTTTCAAATCCCCACCCAAATCCCCCAACCAAACACAGCATAAAAAAATTAGCTTATTTCATTCACATTTTCCTTTTATCTTTCCAAATCCCTAACCATATTTATGATCCAAAACCACGGCCTAAAGATGTGTAGAATTTTATCAAGACTAAACCCATAATAACATTTCAAGTATCAACAAAACTCTCTAAGTGGAGAAGAAAACTTTGGTATATGCCCTTTTAACGAAGCTAGCTCTCTTCAGTCACTCTCACACGCATGCCCACACAAGCCATCAAACTCATTTCAGTGAACCAAACTAAGAGCTTGTTTGGTGTAGTTTCTAGTAGGTTGAAAGCTGATAAATCATAAACCAAAAGCTAAAAGCACATCTTCTCTTACTTCCTAATAATCAGCTATTTTCCACCTATTTAGTTACTTCTACCTCATAACTATAAATAAAAACTGCACTAAACACTCTGACACATATTTCCAAAATAGATAAATATATATATATATATATATATACAAGTAGCTCCATAAGCTACACTAAACAATCCCTAATTCTTGTGCCCTAATGAGGCTATATCTAATGTCACATTGATGTCTCAGGATGCCAGCAGGACAGGAGAAGTTTGTTGTTATCTGCGATCTGGAGGGATGGGGATATGCAAACAGCGACATTCGCGCATACCTGGGAGCTCTATCCATTTTGCAGGTTTAGCCCTCTGTATATTTCTTCATTCTGCAGTGTTCAATTTCTTACTCAATTTGATCAAGATCTTGTTGATTGGACGGCACAACCAGGACATACCAGAAACTTGATCTTCTGAAACTGAAAAATAGCCTCCTTTTTATCTAGGGTTTGGGTTCTGGACCGTCAAGTGATTGGAGAAAAGCCCAAACTTTTTCTGCGATGTACCGTATTTTCAGTTTGTACTTGATGAAACGAACTATAACATGAACATAGAGGACGAACCAATCTAACATTTATATTAAGAAGATCAAATGTAGTATTTTGTGACATTGAATTACTAGTAATAACTAACAACTTGCTGATAATGGCAGGACTACTATCCAGAAAGACTTGGGAAGTTATTTATCATTCATGTGCCTTACGTATTTATGGCAGTGTGGAAGGTTGTATATCCATTTATCGATGACAATACTAAGAAGAAGGTAAAAAAGTCTGAACTCTCTATTTTACAAGCAAGCTAACCATCAAATGTCATGTATTATTTTCAAGTGCACAATTGAATTGTATCACAATATGGTAAACTAATCATTCTGTGTCCCATTCTGTTATAGATCATGTTTGTGGAGAACAAGAAACTGAAGTCAACTCTGCTACAAGACATTGACGAGAGCCAGATTCCGGAGATTTATGGAGGCAAACTACCATTGGCTCCTATCCAAGACAGCTAAGTAGTTGATATGTTACATTTCGAAGGTCCAGATTTGTTTGACCTGTCTTGTGTTGTACAAAACCCTTGATGAGTCTGTTTTTGAGTTTCCAAGAAAGAATTATCTACCGTGTTAAAACAACCTATGTAGTACCTATTTAATTGTTCAATGGTATAAAAAAGAAGAATTGTCGTAATTGAAAGGAGGATAAATATTCGTGTTTGTGCTCAGCATACCTAATTTTCATATAGGGATTCTTCACTGCACCACTTGCTGAGAGGTCCAACACTAAAACCATTGCATCCCAGAGCATGTGATTTAGAACCAAAACCTTCAACATCAATCAACAATAATCAGAAAACCTGCTATACATGACCTGAAAATACCATCAAGAATAACACAGTAGTACTACATATACTGTCCTGATTGAAAAAAATATTTAAGAATAAAAATTAGCATTGCATTTGAGGCTGTCTGAATAATAATGAACAACCATTTGTAGACACTGTAGTGTGGCTTGTTGGTCAAATACAATGACCTTCAGATGCTAATTGGCCCATGATCATTCATGAAGAGTGTATAAAGCTAATTTAATTAACCTTTGATGCAGGAAGGTTCAGATCTAAGGTAAGTTTTGATAGGCAGAGCGGGATAAAATTAAGAATCATTATTCCTAAGCTTGGGATTATACATCAGACAATTTTAACAAAGCTGGAATGCTGGTGAAAACGAGCAAATTGAGGACAAAAGAAAGCAACAGAGCAAGTTAGAGAGAGAGAGAGAGAGAGAGAGATGAAACTCAAAAAAATACTTAGACTGTGTTTAGGTCATGGATTTGGGTATGGATTTGGAAAGGCTAAGAAAAAGGCGAGAGAAATAGATTTATGTTGTGTTTGGTTGAGGGATTTGGAGAGGGATTTGGAAAGGGAAAGGGAAAAGGTGTGTGAAACTAGATGAAATATAGACATATTTTATTCACATTTCACTTACCTTTTTCATTTCTCTTTTCAAATCCCCACCCAAATCCCCCAACCAAACACAGCATAAAAAAATTAGCTTATTTCATTCACATTTTCCTTTTATCTTTCCAAATTCCTAACCATATTTATGATCCAAAACCACCGCCTAAAGATGTGTGGAATTTTATCAAGACTAAACCCATAATAACATTTCAAAGTATCAACAAAACTCTCTAAGTGGAGAAGAAAACTTTGGTACATGCCCTTTTAACAGAAATTATGTAACTCCAAGGTATAACCGACAGTCAAAACTAAATCTTACTTAGTATTGGAAATATACCAGATATTTCTAGTAGCATGGCTAAACTATGTTAAACATACTATAAGTCAAGATAGAAATTTCCAAGCTTATATCTACTCCAAAATTAGGAAACAACACCAGAAAAAACATTAGCATGAGTGTTGGCACATAAATTTCAACTAAATTTATGACACGTATATAGCCTATGATAAGAAGGTTGTAGGTAATCACTTCCTGAAAAAGGATCAACATGATCCGTTGAAGTACATAAATAAAACGACGTTGTATCTCAACGACGTTATTCAAGATGCTCAAATAACCCGTGGAACCTACGAAAGATGACACCTGTAGAGCCTACAGTAAGAACACCACACAAGATGAAACCCCAAAGATCAATCCGGTTAATCAGATAGACGATTAATCAGATAGCGCTATTATTCAAAATTCAAATGGCACTATCATTCAATTTGAAATTCAAATTGAAGATGAGGCATTCCTATCACCTGATGGCCCTCTATAAATATGAGGACCATCACACAAGACGGGGGATCAGAAGAAATCATAAGTGAAAAGATCAGAGAGAGAGAGAAAGAAATTGAGAACTAAAGAAATCGTTACAAGAAAGAAGAAGAGAAGCCTAGAGAACTCAAGAGCCTACGCTAATGGCGATGAATAGGTAAAGGGTTCCAAACCCAAGAAATGTATTTTGTATTCGAGGGTTCAAAACCCATAACAATTTCAATAAAATATTTATTTTTCTTAAATTATCTTTTGTTGTTTATTTTATTCTTCATTAATCGGAGGTTTCATTTGTCTAAAATGTATAATTAACGATCTGAAATACAGATCGGAAATAAGAACCTGCTATTTAAATAATCAACACTGTTTAATCCAAAAACTAAACAGTGGACATTTGTAACATAAAATTTTGAAATGTGTTGAAATACTTCATGTGTTGAAATACTTCATGTTTTAAAATTTGTGTCTACAAATTCTGGCACGCCCGATGGGACTTATTTCTCCTCCCATCTTTTGAAGAACAAAAAATATATATAGGTATATAGTTGAAACTTACTGACGTATTCTTTTGTTATAGGAATGCTGAAGCTACTGTCAAGAGACAAACCTACACTCTAGTGGTTCTAAAATCACCAAGGGTGGAGATGGCACCCATCACCCAAGGGGCTTCGGAGCGAATGCTCTTGGCTGTCCCAAAGGTAGAACCAGCGAAATCCTGGAAAGATGCACTTCTTTCCCCTATTACCCAAGGGGCTCCGGAGCGAAAGCTCTTGGCTGTCCCAAAGGTAACTGGTGTGACGAAGAAAGTCACACTTCTCCAGAAAGCTGAAAGTTTGAGAAAGATTACTGAAGATTATGTGAAAGCGTCGCAGCGGTACGCAACTGTAAGGGCCACAGCCCAAACGAAGAGCTTTCTAATTCAGGCAAAGGAGGCTAATTAGTTTGCAACTACAACTTCTGTTGCAGCTTCAACGGGGGCAACAAAAAATGTTGTGGCCCAACTACTCAAAAGGGTAGACGACTCCATTAAAATGGTGGAGTTTGCTCAGAAGAAAGCCTCTGCTGAAAACATGGCCATCATTAGGGCCATTGGGAGGAGGGTAATGACTCAAACTCCTATTGATGGAAAAAAGGCCCTTGTTGTTGAAAAAACAGTTCTGTTCAGAGCACAAAATCGGTCAAACCAAATCTTAGTCAACTCTCAAGAGCCAAAGGAACACTCGTTGGTTCGACAAGATTCGAATAAGGAACACCCGTTGGTTCGACGGGGTTCGAATAAGGAACTCCCGTTGGCCCGACAGAATAAGGAACACCTATTGGCCCAACGGGATTTGAATCAACATCAATTGGTCCGCTCTAAAAATGTAGGGGCCTTTTTGAAAATTCACGAGGAATTTGCAAAAACGCAAACAGTTCCTTCTATGCCCCTAGGGGCTCGACTTGATATGTCATCCGGTCCAGTTTCAAAAAGACAAAGGTGAAAAAGAAATAAGGCCATAAAGAAACTGGAACTGAGAACAGTGGCAACAAATGTTATAGGAGCAATTGAAAGGGCTCTCTCGAAAGATGAACACAAAAAACAAATTGAAAGTTCTGTCTTTGTTGGAAAATCCAAGGTGGATGAGGGTAAGCAACCCTTGGGAAATATTTCTACTTTGGTTGAACTATCTATGTAGGGAATAAGAAAAGGGCCTGTAACAAGGTCCATAACCCGTCAGGCTCAAAACAAAGCATTGCAGTCAGATGCTTCAAATATGAGTAATGTTGTGGGGGTTGATAATCCTTTATACGAACAAGATGATTCTATCTCGTTTGTTTCAACAGATATTGGAAACAATGAATTGAGAGATATCAACAAAATCGCAGTTATGATGACTGAGGTTGAAAAAGAAGGTGAAAATTCGCAGGTCCAACAAGACCAAGGTCTCAAGGAAAAAGTGGTGGCCCTACAAGAACAACTTGAGAGAAGAGAACGGGAAATGGCTGCTATGTTGGAGCAAATGCAATAGTTGCAGGCCCAAATGACAAGACCAGGAAGTGCACCCAAACAAATGACACAACCTATTGTGGGGACATCCGTAGGCATACAAAGCACACTAGCCCCAAGGGGCAATGGTCCTTGTTACTCCGATCTAACCAGTGGTGGTATGAATCCAGTGCTCATGGCCATGATTGATGATATGGTGAGGAGACAAGTAAAGAAAGTCAAAGAAAAAGATGATGAGAACTTTTGAATAATTACAAAACCTTACCCAACATGGGTAGATGCTGTTTCATTCCCTTCTGGTTTTTCCCAACCAGATTTCAAAATGTTTGATGGAACAGGAGATCCAAGACAACATGTGGCTCATTTCCTTTTGAGATACGGGCCAATAGCCTAGAATGAGGCCCTGTGCCTGCAGCTATTTGTCCAATCACTTGACAGTTCTGCATTTACTTGGTATGCTAATCTTCCTGAGGGATCAATTCTAAATTGGGATTCCATGGTGAAGGAGTTTCTTAAACAGTTCTGCAACACACAAAGACGAGTTTGAGTACCAGAACTGATTGAGACCAAGCAACGTGACAATGAGTCTGTTTGCAAGATGGCGAGCTTTGACATTTGCTTGTCCTCAAAAGTTTACGCAATTAGAGTTAATTTGGATGTGCCTTAACAACTTCCGACATGAGCTCTCTACAGCTCTTATGGCTCAAACTTTTGAAGGATTCAATGATCTATGCACTAAAGCTCATGATATGGAGCTGCATCTAGCTAAACGAAGGAGGCCTAGGGCCGTTGAAAGGGTTAAGTCCTCGACTGTAGCTACAATCGAAACTAGAATGAAGGATCCCGTTACAGTAGGGGCTAAAAAGCCCAAGGAATTTAAAAAGGTGACTATGAAAAAGAGGTTGGAGAAGAAATATTCTTTCATGGATGATCTGGTCGAAGACCTATTTGAAGATTTGTTGGAGCAAAAGTTGATTGCTCTCCCTGAGGTGAAAAGACCACATGAGGTAGAAAAGACCAACGATCCAAAGTATTGCCCCTACCATCGTTTGATTAGCCATCCGATAAAAGAGTGCTTTGTTCTGAAAGATAAAATTCAAGAACTTTTGGACTCTAAAATTATCGAACTCCCTCCTCAAGAGAAAGCATCTGCTAACCCAATCACTATCGACAATGATAATGAAGGTGAATGGGTTGTTTATCAGTCAAAAAGCATGAAGAAAAAACAAAATGCCACAATGAAAGCTAGAAGTGTGGTTGATTCAACAACACAAGAGCCAAAAGTTTCCAAAAAGCAAAAACCAAAAGTTTCTAAGGAAACAAAAAAAAAAGCCAAAGTAAGTAAGAGAAAAGGAAAGAAGAACCCAAAGAAGGAAAAAGGGGAGAAATTAGTCCCTGATGAGCAGTTAGAGCAAGGTCCTCTTGTCCCAGTCACATTGGAGGAATTTCTACCTTCAAAATTTCAATCTGTGGAGTTGCAAACATACTTTGATAAAAGAAAGGAGGAAAAGTTTACTTTGGCCCCTTGCCTAACCATCATTGTTTTGAGTGATGACGAGGAAGATAAGGGTGAAGTTGGTTCAAAAGTTAGGGAAGGAGATTGCATTACATCTCCTATCTGCATACTTGACTCACCAGAGTATACACAAACTTCTCCAAAATACACACCAGCCTCTCCAGAATATACACCAGCTTCTCCAGAGTATACACCAGAAGCCTTTTCTCTAGAGTATTCGCTAGTACCACCAATGTACTATCAAAGTACTCCAGAATATGTAAGAGGAACAGAACAAGGAGACACTGGGTGTAGGCCTAACTCTAAGCTTGTGAAAAAGGCGAAAAAACAACTACACTTCAAGGATGATGAGGTGAATGGTAGGTGTATGTCGGATGATGAAGTATGGAAGCATTCAAGTAAACAAGCAAAGTCATCTCAAGTTGAGGATCCTAATGAAGATTGGGAACTTGACTTTTCTCCTGATGGTTCACCATACACATCCCCAGCTAGGACATACGATGGAGAAAGTGTATCAAGTGACCACTTTGACTTTCCTTGTAATGTCATCATTGTGGATGTAAATTTTGAAGAACGAGAAATACATATCATTCGCAATCCAGGTGATGATGAGAAAGCAAAAATTGAAGCTTGAAGGGAAACAGAACATCAGGCAAAAGTAACAGTCTCTTTGAAAGATGAGGGTTTTGAAGCCTATCAAAATTTGATTATTGAAAGAAATCAAATTTCTGGACACCTTTTCCCTAATTGGGTCGAATGGGTTCAGTTCCCACGAGGATATGCAGTACCTCATTTTCTTTTATATAATGGGACAGGTTGTCCAAGGCGCCATTTGGTTCGTTTCCTTGCACAATGTGGAAACACAGTAAAAAGTCAGGCGTTACTTTTACGGCAGTTCGTTCTTTCTTTGGAAGGATGGGCAGCAGATTGGTACTTCAGCCTGCCACCTAATTCAATCCTAGATTGGGACACCATGGCTGATCGATTCTATAGGACATTTTATAAACCATGGCCAATAGAAATTGAGATGTCGAAACATTTGGATGACGAAGGTACATCTTCTCAAACATATGATTTCATAGAAGGCACAATTGAGAAGAAGATTGAAACTGCCATTGACCTTCGAGAGATGGGCACTTATTGCCCAAGGGATTTGTTCCCTTTATGGGTAGAGCAAACACCATTTCCTGAAGGATACGAACTTCCAAATTTTGTCCTATATGAGGGGCATGGAGATCCTCAAAAACATATTAGGCGTTTTTTGAAACAGTGTGGGGAAACAGCTTAAAATCAAGCACTTTGCCTAAAACAATTCCCCCTTTCCTTAGAGGGGATCGCCTTTGACTGGTATTGCTCCCTCGATGGAGTCGTCGAGAATGGTTTTGAAGAATCTCAATGCTTTTTTAGGCGTGACTCCCGGTACCTAAGAAATGGGAGAAGAATGCAGCTCCAGGAAGATGGAGAAGTGACTGATGATGATGATCACCCTGCAGCTGGACCAGTTAACATGGTCCAAATAAGTGAGGGAATAAAAGAAGTTGAGGTCAACGAAAAGGCGGTTGCTGAAGTATGCCAAACTTACTTGACCTACCGAAGGAAATTACGAAATCCTCAGGACCCTCAAATGTCAGAAGTTCCACAGGTTTTGCTGGAGGAAGAGCAAGTGAAATATGATGTACTAGCTCATCTAAAGAAAATTTCAGCATTATTGAGCGTATATGATGCACTGAAAATGTCTCCAGAGCTTCGAAAGTCTTTAATATATGCCCTGTCCAAGCCAAAGGATTTCCACAAAGAAATTGAGGGTAGAAATCAAGAGAAGACAACTACATGCATGGCTATGGTAACCTTTGATGACAATGACATGTGTGCTGAAATGGCAGACCATAATCGGCCTTTGTTTATCACTGGGCTTATCCATGATGTGAAGATTTCTCGAATTTTGGTTGATGGAGGATCTGCGGTAAACCTCCTGCCTCGAATGGCCTTAAACCTATTAGGGATCCGAATTTCACAACTGCGCCCAAGTCGTCTAGTCATTCAAGGATTTAATCAGAATGAACAACATCCAATGGGAAAGATTGAATTGCAAACCAAGTTTGGGGATATTGAAGAAAGCACTGAGTTCTTGGTCATTGATGTAGACACCTCCTATAATGTTTTGCTTGGGAGACCATGGATGCATAATCATCATGCAGTGCCATCAACTTATCACCAATGTATCAAGTACCCGTTGCCTTCACCCAAAAAAGAGGGGACAATTGTGGCTGACAATGATCCATTTGGAGAAGTAGAGGTCTATTATGCTGATGCTCACTTCTATACAAAGACTTCACAAAGAAAGGGAAAAGATGTGAAAAAGTCTGAAGATACTCCGAATGTCAAAGACGCTCTAGAGTCTACTCCAGTTTCAACAAAAAGAACTTTTCGATGTGTGCCAAAGTCCGAAAGGAAACTGGGGGCAAAGGCACTAGCCCCAATAAATCCAATTTTGGATCTCAATGGTGAGTTCACATTGCCATTAAGAAGGACAGAATGCACCTATGTGGAGAAATAAAATAAGATTGTGGTCCCTTCTAAAGGAAAAGGGTCGAAACCCATCATATTCCACTCACTTGGAGATGTTGAACAGAAAGTGAAAGTTGAACAAGTGCCAGAAGAAAACATCTCGAGTTTTGAGAAGCCTACTTTCAGTGCAGAAATTACACAGATGTTGGTGAAAGTTGGTTTAGATCCTGAAAAAAAACCAGAAACAATGACACCCTTTGACTTTGCATTAACACCTTCGCAGAGGCAAGCTATCCAGCAAGGCGGTATTATCACTGCTAGGACAGAAGGGTTAGGCTATCGGGGGGATGAGGAAAAAATTTCAATAAACATGACTATCACTCAAGATGTGTTAGAAGATGTTGACCAAGATGAAGCTCAACCTGCACCAACAGAATTTGAAGCAGGAGGCCAAGCCACCGTGGATGACCTTCGTGAAATAAATCTGGGTGATGAAGGAGAAAACAAACCAACCTTAATTAGTGCAAATTTAAAGGAAGAAGAAGCTCGGCAATATATTTCCTTCTTAAGGGAGTATCGTGACATATTTGCATGGAACTACAGTGAGATGCCTGGTCTTAATCCAGAGATTGCAGTCCATAAGCTTGCAATTCACCCTGAGAAACGGCCAGTTAAACAGCCTCAGAGGCGAACTCGACCAGAGCTTACAGCCCAAATTGAAGTCGAAGTCGACAAGCTTATCAATGCAGGGTTCATTAGGGAAGTCCAATATCCAACCTGGCTAGCAAACATAGTGCCGGTCAAGAAAAAGAATGGTCAAATAAGGGTCTGCATTGATTTCCGTGATCTCAATGAGGCTTGTCCTAAAGATGACTTTCCCTTGCCCATCATCGAGCTTCTTGTAGATGCAACTACTGGGTATGAAACCTTGTCTTTTATGGATGGATACTCAGGATACAATCAAATCCGAATGGCGCCTGAAGATGAAGAAATGACTGCATTCAGGACTCCGAGAGGAGTCTTTTGCTATAAGGTAATGCCTTTTGGCCTGAAAAATGCTAGGGCCACGTATCAAAGGGCGATGACTGTAATTTTCGGTGATATGCTCCATGACACCATTGAATGCTATGTTGATGATCTTGTCGTCAAGACAAAGGAGAAGGAAAACCATATGGAAGATTTGAGAAGAATCTTCGAACGTTTGAGGAGATACAAACTCAAGGTGAACCCACTAAAATGTGCATTTGGAGTTTCCTCAGGAAAATTTCTAGGGTTTGTGGTTAGAAACAAAGGGATTGAAATTGACCCTACTAAGATTAAAGCCATTGTTGAAATGCCCCCTCCACGAAATTTAAGGGAATTGAAGGGGCTACAAGGGAGGTTGGCTTATATCAGAAGATTTATTTCGAACTTGGCTGGTCGATGCTTGGAATTCTCAAGATTGATGAAAAAGGGTGTTCCATTTGAATGGGATCAACAGTGCCAAAATGCTTTTAATAGTATTAAGGAGTATCTTTTGAAGCCTCCAGTACTTATGAGCCCAATAAAAGGAAAACCACTTTTGTTGTACATAACAGCCTTGGATGGTTCGTTAGGGGCATTGTTGGCACAACATAATGAGCATGGGAAAGAAAATGCCTTATATTACTTAAGTCGTACTTTGGTTGGGGCAGAGGTCAATTACTCCCCTATCGAAAAGACATGTCTTGCCTTGGTGTTCGCCTTGCAAAAACTAAAGCACTATGTCTTGGAACACGAAGTCAAGTTGATATCAAGAGCAGACCCCTTGAAATATATACTTTCACGGTCCATACTTTCAGGGAAAATTGCAAAGTGGGCTGTAATTCTCCAACAATTCGCAATTGAATATGTTCCCCAAAGAGCTGTAAAGGGGCAGGCTCTAGCAGATTTTTTGGCAGCACATCCTATACCTGATGACTCACCTCTAGTAACTGATTTACCAGATGAAGAGGTTATGCAAGTAGAAATTCAAAAAGGATGGGAGATGTATTTTGAGGGAGCTTCAAGGAGTCCAGATGGCAAAAAGCAAGAAAATCCTAAAAACAATAAAGTTGGAATTGTGTTTGTGACTCCAGACAATGCTATAATCACCCATTCTTTTGCTTTAAGTGAAGGATGCTCTAATAATGAGGTAGAATATGAAGCTGTAATTGCTGGATTAGAATTGGCATTACAAATTCCTATTGAAGAACTCTCAATTTATGGAGATTCAGAACCGGTGGTAAAGCAACTCCATGGAGAATACATTGTTAAGAAAACAAGTCTCATCCCGTATCATGAAAGGGCTGATCAATTGCTTTCGCAATTCAGAAAAACACATATTTTCCACGTGAAGAGAAGAACAAATGCTCGAGCTGATTCACTTGCAAGTTTGGCTGCATCACTCACCCTACTAGATAGCAAAACAATTACTATCACAGTAGGTGAAAGAAGGGTGTTACAACCTTTAAAAGAAGTTTCTGACTTGATTCCAATCTTGGTCGTCACCACGAAAGGAGAAAACGAGGAGGGTTGGCGGGAACCATTCATAGCTTACCTCCAACATGGTAGGCTACCTGAAGATAAAGTAAAAAGAATTGAAGTGAGACGCAGGGCTACCAAATTCGTCTCGTGGAAGGATGGGTTATACAAAAGGTCTTTGGATGGAATGTACATACGGTGTATAGCCAAGGAGCGTATTCAAGAGATAATGGCAGAAATACATGCAGGTGTATGTGGGGCACACCAAAGTGGTCCTAAATTACATATGCAGCTAAAACGGTTGGGATACTATTGGCCGACTATGATCGTAGATTGCATAGATTATGCTCGAAGATGCCAAGTCTACCAATTCCATGGGAACTTTCTCCACCAACCCCCAGAGCCTTTACATTTAACAACTTGTTCTTGGCCATTTGCAGCATGGGGTATGGACATTATTGGTCCTTTTGTACCTCCATCTTCAACAGGATATCGATACATCCTAGCTGCAACTGACTATTTCTCAAAATGGGCAGAGGCCGTGGCTTTAAAGGATATAAAAAGCACAGTTGTCTCTGAGTTCATCCGAACCCATATCATTTACAGGTTCGGGATTCCAGAAAGCATCATCATGGAGAATGGACAGCCATTCAGGAGTGATGCTTTGAACAAGTTATTTGCCAAGTACAAAATCAAAAACAACCATTCGTCAAGATATCATGCACTTGCCAATAGTTTGGCAGAAGCTTTCAACAAGACATTGTGCAAAATTCTTAAGAAGATGGTGGATAAGAACAAAAAAGCTTGGCACGAAAAGTTACAAGAAACTTTGTGGGCTTATCGGACTTCGCACAGAACTCCTATTCAAGCAACCCCTCATTCGTTGGTTTTTGGAGGAGAAGCAGTGTTACCACTTGAGGTTCAAATACCATCATTGCAAGTGGCAATACAAGAGTCCTTAACAAAAGATGAAAGTACAAGAGGTTGGCTGAGCTGGAGACCCTGGATGAAAGAAGGTTGTATGCTCAACAGAACTTGGAAATCTACCAACAAAGGATGGCAAATGCATTCAATAACAGAGTGAGGCTTCGTTCCTTTAAAAAGGGAGACTTGGTACTAATGGTTAGAACACCCATAGTAGTCTCACGACGAACCAAAGGAAAGCTTGAGCCCAAATGGGAAGGACCTTATGTGATTGAGAAGGTTTATTCTAATGGGGCCTATTTGTTGATAACGATGGATGATGACAGAATCATTCCCCCAACCAATGCAAGGTTCTTGAAGAGATATTACCCTTAAGAAAGCCTGCTAGGTTGAAAACCCGAAAGGGCGGCCTAGGCAAAAGTTAAGGCAAAAAAAAAAAACCCCACAAACGGTATTGTATGTGGTTAAACTGCTAAAATATCCCACCGAAATCTAAGGTGGTAAAACATTGGATACTCCTGGCCCGCAAGAGTATAAACTGTGTACGGCCAAACAAAAGTCAAAAACTACCAACGGTATTGTATGTGGTTAAACTGCTAAAATATCCCACCGAAATCTAAGGTGGTAAAACATTGGATACTCCTGGCCCGCAAGAGTATAAACTGTGTACGGCCAAACAAAAGTTGAATACCACCAACGGCATTGTATGTGGTCAAACTGCTAAAATACCTCACTGAAATCTAAGGTGATAAAACATTGGATACTCCTGGCCCGCAAGAGTATAAACTGTGAACGGCTAAAATAAGACAAATCAATGTATTGTATTGAGAAATTTCATATAACAAATAAATCTATCACTGAGCGAAATTTCATAAATACATTACGTTCGGATGAATAAAAATAAAAATAAAAGTGCATTCATTCATTAAGAGAAGCCTTGGACCTTTCAAAAGCACGTTCCACAACACTGTGTTGTCCATTCTTCTTCTTGTGTTGGCTCAAAACATTCAGAGCAGTTTGCACGTCTTCTTCTGATTTAGAAACACTCTCGGAAGCTTGTGCAAAATCACACATAAAGGATGCATGTTCCGCTTGGGTGGATGACAATTGATCTTCAAGTTGTTTGAGTAACTCTTTGGTTTGAATAATCCTTTGATTAAGACCCGTAATGTGCTCATTCGACTTGATAATTGAAGCAGACAACTGTTCATGTTCGCCAGAAAGTTTGTCGAAATGAAGCTTCTTCTCATAGTATTGAACCTCAAATTCTGCAGTAGACAAGTTCGAAGAATCTGCAAGTTGGGTTTTCAAAGCAAAGCACCCAAGGAATATTTTTACCTTCTCATAAAAGGAGATGAAGTCTACACCCAAACTCTTCAAAATCATGAAAACGTTGTTTGCTACAGCAATCATGCCATTAACATCCGTCATTGATTGGAGAGAAATAGTAAGACCTTTCTGAATATGGGTGGCTGCTTCGTCAGAGGTAGTTCCCAAAAGAAGGCTAGATGGAGCAAATGGTGCTTCAAGATTGTCAAATAATTTGTTAACCCCATTTACTTCAAGTAAGTCTGCAAGAATTTGGGCCTCTTCCGAGGTATCAGAAGTAATTTCGTCTGTCTTTTCCAATGTGTCAGAAGTAATTTCTGTGAAAATAGAAGGAGATACTCAATGAAAACATAGAAGGTAAAAACAATATATATATATAGATGAATGAAGTATACCTTGGTGTACGGCTTGAGGAGACTTAGGTGGGAGAGGAGACAAGTTGTGATTCCCACAAGTGGACCACGGATTTTGCAATGTGGCGTGATCTAAAGAGAAAGGAGTTCCTTGAGTATGCATACACGAGGTAACTGGGGAAGTCCGAGGCACAGTGCCTAAGAAAATGAGTGGTGTTAAAAAAAAAAAAAAAAAAAGAAGAAGAAGAAGAAAGAATTATACCTTTCTCTAATAGCTTGGATGGCTTGTTCGAAGAAGGAGAAGAAAAACCTACATTTGCTGGGGGCAGTTTATTCATCTTAGTCGGTGTGCCATCTAAAAGAGGGGTGTAGTCATAAAACTCATCTTCACTCTCGCTACTTCCATTGAGAGAACAATCAAAAGATTTGGTAAGAGAAGGAATTTCAACACTCCTCATGCGAATACGACCCAAGGCAGTTAATTCATACCCATCTCCCTCAAAAAGTTCTTGAATCATATTCTCATCTTTATCTTCAAGAAAAGAGTATAAGTATGTGCGAAATTGATCCATTGGAGTTTTGGTCGCTACGGTGGGTTGGGAAGTTCCTGTACAATCACTGATAGACATAGTCTCTGGAAAAAGCTTTGCGAGACTAGAAAATTGAGGGCCAGAATCTACTTGCTCAAAGCTAAATCTCATTTTAAATTGAGAATTGCACATATCCTCGAAATGATGAAGGAGATCTGAAACCGAGTAACTAGATCGGGAAGGAGCATTAAGTGGTCGACTATTATCCATTCTCTGAGGTGATGATGCTTCCAGAGCAATAGGTGAAGATGGTGACCTAGCTCTAGAGTAAGAAGGATTCTTCGTCTTTCGGTCTTTAATTGACATATCCAGTTTTCTCTTGCGTGAAGATTTCAGCTGGGTATGAGTAACATATTGGAGCACGGTAAAGGAAGTTCCTAACCACCAATTGGCATAAGGCATGGTTACGTGAGAAGTAAATCGGGTGCCTAGTAACTCCAATGAGACTTTTGTACCGCAGCGTAACATATGGCGCCAGTTGTAATAAAATTTAGACCACTCAGAAGGCTGCCGACAAGATACATTAAGCGGTGTTGGGCATGCTTGAGCAAACCCAAATTGACGACCGTATCAGTTAGGGGAGTACGGTTCAGAAATGAAATTAAATCCCATTTTAAAAGTTAAAATCCCTTACCTCAAAGATATAAGATAGCCAAGGTGGAAAGGTGATATCCTTTCAGAGTCGACCAGAATGCCTGAAGGTTCACTTTCATGGGTAAGAGCCTTAAACTGACACTCCGTACGATAAGTTAGGAGAGAGTCTACAAATGGAAATTTATCAATAAAAAAATGGGCAGCCGATTGGTTTAGTTTTAAAAAACTATATATATTCATGGAAATTTCAACATTTTAAAATTCACTTGCACGAATCACGAGGGGGCGGGCTTTGATTAGATTAGATTTAGATTAGATTCACACAAAAAAAAAAAAAAGAAAAAAGCAAAAAAAAAAAAAAAAGTCTGTTCATATTTTTCTAGCAAAATCTGCTGTTACAAAAAGGGCAGCAGGAAAAGTCTTTGGGCTCATGGTTAGCAAAAAAAAAAAAAAAAGTCTGTTCATATTTTTCTAGCAAAATCTGCTGTTACAAAAAGGGCTGCAGGAAAAGTCTTTGGGCTCATGGTTAGCAAAAAAAAAAAAAAAAGTCTGTTCATATTTTTCTAGCAAAATCTGCTGTTACAAAAAGGGCTGCAGGAAAAGTCTTTGGGCTCATGGTTAGCACCAAAAAAAAGAAAAAAAAAAAATCGCAAGTTTGGGATTTTTTATTACGCAGGCTGTTTTAGGGGGCAAATTCTCCTTTACCACACTTATATCCATTCTCTGGACAATTCCTTTCAGCTATGTATAGAGGATATGAGATCTTTGGTTCATAATTTTGTTCATGGTATTGGTTTGTTCTTCAAAAAAAAAGGGTTATGTGGCAGGAATTTTGTTTGATCTAAAAAAAAGGGGTTTTTTTTTAAAAAAAATAAAAAAACTTGCCAAACAGTTTGCTGTTGTAAAAATTTTAAAAAAAATAAAACAAAAAATAAATAAATAAATAAAGGTATTGGTCATATGTGATCAAATTTGGTTATATGCAATCAAAAAGTGTTTATTGACACAGTAAAGTCATGTCTTGCACACAGACAGTTTTTTTTTCTTTTTTGGGCCTTCAAGTTTTACAAAAAAAAAAATAAATAAATAAACAAATAAAAGAGAAGCAACAAATAGGGAAGTATACCGGATTGAAAGGAATTTGAAGGATTTCTTTTGGCACCTTCTTTAAAGTACAAGAAGAACAGCTTTTGTTGGAAAGAAAAAAAAAAAAGTTGCTGGAAATTTTCTGGAAGCAAGAAAAATTTGCTGAAAAAAAAATCTGCAAGGAAAAAAAATCTGCAGGGAAAAAATATCTGAAAAGGTGTAATATAAAGGAAAAGTCTTGTTTAAGAAAACAGGTAGTGGTCTCCTAAAATACTTCAAAGAAGCAAGAGTTTATGTAGGATTTGAAATACTAAGTAAAAGTTTGTGTAGGATTAGAAATCCTACCAATGCCAATCCCAAACTCCTAATATATATATATATATATATATATGTATATATATAAATCTCCTAAAAAAAATAATAATAATAAAAATAAAAATAAAAATAAAATAAAATAAATTAATAAATTTTATCTGGAGTTTGTCTGAAATATATTAGTATATAAATTAGTTTTAAATTAATCCAATTCAATCACTAACAAAGACATTATTAACAATAATAATTTTGTGGGTATTTAATATTTATTGTTTATAAATTATTTTAATTAGGATTCAGCATGATAATTATTCTTACTAAATACTTTAGTTGAAAATCTTAGTGTATCAATTTTAAGAAACCCATATAAATACACAAATATACAAAAAAAAAAAAAAACTTAAGAGTTAGCGCATTTTTCGCTTTAAAGCCAAGTGTTTTGATTTTGACAAATTAAACTCTGAAATTATATTTGTATTTCAATATGTCCCTTTCGTCCATCTCTATCTGTGTAAGGTAACGGATGGCGTTTAAAGTAAAAAATGTATGAAACCTTGGAATTTTTTGTATAATTAACCATTTTTTAAAATTAAAATCACTAAAAATAAAAAAAAGGATTAATTACGAAATAAATCCTAAGGTTTCACATGTTTTTCATTTTAAACGATGGAGATGGACGGAGGGTCACATTGAAACAGGCCTCAAACTACATGGTTTAATTTGTCAAAATTAAAATACTGAGATATAAAGTGAAAAACGCATGAAACCTTAAGCCCTTTTTATTTTATTTCAATTAACCCCACTATTTTTTCGTTGTTTTTACTTAA